TATATATATAGTTCATAAAGTCCACAAGGGAGTTTTATTTCTCTCCTCAGACTTGTTAAAAGACGATTATAGGAGCACTTTTGTGTTTTTGCATCATGACTTCCGTGCAGAAGGTAAAGCCATCAGCTCTGACCTGAAGCCCCTGCCAACCGACGGGTGGGTTTGGGGGAGAATCGATTCCCACCCTTAGATTACCGTGGCTATGTTATCTTAAACTTGAGGCTGTTGCTCTGACACACAGGAATGTCACCTCTGAGGCTTCGGAACGCACACACAAACACGTATAGGTTATAAACACAAGGAGGGAGATTTCTCACGCCTGTGAACTGGGGAAATACATTCCACGCAGAGGGAGAGAGGGGTCCCACAACTCAGCTCCTGCCCCGCTTTGATGTTCCAAAGTAATGGGATGACCGCTTGTTATCAGTGTGAAGGCATCTGGTTCTCTAGGTTTTTAAGTGTGCTATGATTTATGGAGTCTTTGATGACTGACACAAACTCACACACACTCTCTCCCACCCATTAATCATGCTTTATATCTCCTCTTTGGGTTTGGACGCTCCAAACTGATCCAAACCAACGGTAAAGGCCTGTGTGTGGATTTCAAATTAAAAGCACGTCTGGGTTCAGTTTAGTTTGGTTGTTTAGAAAGAACAGAAGTTTACCTGTCTGGTTTTGGCTTCTCTCAACACCGAGTCTCCCTTACGTCCACGTTCCTCTGAAGTCCCCCATTACAGGGTAACAGGCCCTGGTTTACATTAACCCTCAACACCACAAAAAGACCAGGGGGGAGAGGAAGTCAGGCTGAGACAGACAGGGGGGGGAGAAGGAGATTTGATTTGCAAGTCTGGTTTCCATTAGAGCTAATTATCTGTGTTTCATCTCAACCCGAAGCAGTTGGTGTGTGTGCAGGAGTGTGCATGGTAGAGTTTCTTTTTACTTGTGATCTGTGACTTTTACCCAGTAAAAGCTGCAGCTAAAGCAAAGGTGATCAAACCTGAGGCCAATAACGTGAGCTGAGATGAAACTCTTCTTACATCCCCACATAGGTCAGTCAGATGTGCAATAAACTGGTCAACTGGTCTTACATGTTCTTTATTTCTGCTGTTATTGTGTTTAAAGATTCTCTTCAATTCTCCTTCTCAAAAAATGTTTGCATTTCCTTCATATAGGGCGTCTGTGCACATAAAATCTTCAGAGAACATAAAGTTCAGCTCATAGTTTTGGTGCAATACTATAAAAAATAGAGCACAAAGACACATTTAATCTAGTTTTAGTCTGATGCTGGTAAGTCCATATATATATAT